CTCCTCACACCAACATAGTGCCCCCCCCCCCACGGAGCCCATGGGCCACCTTCCCTTCATCTGTGGATATAGTGGGCGCACACAGTCCACAGGCTGCCTCCCCTCCATCTGTGGACTCAGTGGCCCCCTGCGGAGTCCACGGGCTGCCTCCCCTCCATCTGCGGGCACAGTGAGCGTTTTCTGTCCATCTGCCTCCTCCCCTCGGCTGGCTGGGTGATGTTTCTCCCTTCAGCCCTGACATAGTCTCCTGGAACGTGGGTTCAGTCTGCTCACGGGCCAGTCACTTCTGCCCAGAGCCCACAGGCTCTTCTGCAGTGTGGGCGGTGACTGACCTGTGGAGGGGTGACGCTGCATTCGGACTTGGAAGATCCATTTTTGCTTTCCCAGCTGGCCCTCTGGTAGCTTCTGCCAATGCAGATGCAGCCCCAGCCATTAGTGCCCCTCTTCCAGGCATCTGGTTTCCAGTTCACGGCCCCTCCAAGCTGAGAGACACCGTCTGGCTGAGCAGCCCATGCCCCGCCTCCTCTCTTCCGGCCCCCTGAGGCCTGAGTTCTCCCTCAGGCTCCCCCCTCAGTCTCTCCTCCTTCCCTTGTGCCTTTGTTTCTCAGGCACAGGCTGGTGTCCGATCCTGCAGTTCTCACCTCCGGGACCACCTCTCTCCTTGCTGTAGGTCACAGTTGCATAGAAACCCATTGCCAACAAGCCTTTCCCGACTTGTGGTGACCCCACGTGTGTCAGAGCAGGACTGAGCTGCACAGGGGCTTCTTGTCTGGGATCGTTACGCAACCAGAATGCCAGTCCTTCCTTCTGTACTGTTGCTGGCTGGCTGGAACCTCTCTATCCCGTGGGTTCACCTGAGCACGCTCTCTGTCCACACGGCTGGGTCTTGAGTGTGCACACGCAGAAGTAGGCTGGGTCAGGAGTGGACAGTCAGGAGGACAAGGATGGCACTGGTGGACTGGAGTGACAGCAGGTGTCTCCTTCCTGAAGACGGTGTCCCTGTAGCTGAAGTATGCATGAAACATAGTCCTGAGGACATGCCCACCAGATGGCGTGAGGGAGCCACCCTTTGCCCCCAGATGACAGTGGCCAGTTCCCAGTGGTCCCTGGTTCCCTCCCTTGCTGCGTGATCCCCTCTGAAAACGGTGGTTAGTTTGGGAGTTTTCTGCATATTTACTGTAGGAAGCAGCTTAAAACACCTACCATATGTGGCAGCATTGTGTGATGACTGTGAAGCACCCCAAACCACCTCAGGGCCACGTGGTCTTTGGAGATGACGGTGCCTTGGAATCATTGTGCTGTGCTCTTGGATGGGAGGTGTCATATTAGCAAAAATAGTGCTGAGGTTTCTTGTGGGAAAATAGCTGGTTTTACTTCCTGAAAATAAACATGTGAATGGTGTAGGATGGAATGAGAGGGAAGGGAGTGAGGTTACCAGGGTTTACACTGTTTTAATGGCTTGTTTTTCTTAACTTCTCTTAAATTCTTGTCAAGTTACACAGTGCTCATTAAAGTGTCCAAAGAAACCATAGCCACGTAGGAGCTGCTAGTCATGGGCTGCCCTCCGAGGATATCCCGATACCCAAGAAACGCCGAGGGCAACTGGCCCCACTGTGTCCCATTTCCAGTAACCTATAAAATCGCCCCTTGTGATTCCTTGGAAGCCTGTTAACCAGCACAAACCCAGCAGTCACCACCGATAATGCCTGCCCCTGAGCTCCAGCTCCTGACACCACAGTGACTTCTGAGAGCTGCCCTCCAGGCCTGTCCTTCCACCAGACAAACAGTGTCAGGATCCTTGTTGCACTGACAAGAGTACCGCCACGTCGACAAGGGACAGGCAGTTCCCTATTTGTGAATTGTGGTATAGCCGTCTGATTTATTTCTAGAGCAAGCATACAAAGCTATTACTATTTACAGAAATCTAAAAATCGTGAGTTGCCATGAAATTGGCTCTCACTCGTGGCGCCTCCATGAACCACGGTGAAATGCCACCTGGCCTTGTGCCAGCTTTGGGATTGTTGGCATGCTTGCCCCCACTCCTGTGGCCATTGCATCTGTACTTCTCATGAAGGGGCACCCTCGTTTCTGCCCACCCTCCGCTTTACCGAACACAGCGTGCTGCAGGTGCTCATTCAGTAGCTGGTTTTCAACCCCGACTGGCTGCTTTTCTTTTTTCCTGTCTCTAGATAAGATATTTGCCGTTTTTGATGTAAATATATAATCCTGGACGGCTCATTTATATTGAAAAACTGAAAAATGTGTAAAGGTTTAAATAGTTTTTTTTTTTTAAATTGAGATAATCATATCACACAGAAGATTTCAGATGTGGAAATCTAAATACTCACCTATGTTGATACTTGGCTCTGTTGGCCTCCTGCCTTTGCTCTCTTTTTAGAGGGAAGGAGCAATTGTTGATGATGAGGCTCTACTCCCGACCATCTCCTCTTCTTGGGTGGGACTCTTGCCCACGTGTGCTTCAAACACAGTATGTGATGGTGTTTAATGCATTGCACTCTTACCTTACAGCCTCAAACTGTGCACGTCCCCGTACTACTTGGGTCCCACTCCTCATCCCATGTCTGCCTTTCATTCACGTGGATACGGTTCGGTTATACATGTGTGAGTCTCCCTCTACCTACTGCTTAACTGGACTGGCCGCTTTAGCATGTGGTCTTTTTGTTGTCTGTAACCCATCTGTCTGTTGTCGTGCTGTGGTGGCTGGTGTGTTGCTGTGCCATCGGAAGCTATGCCACTGGCCTTCCCAGCGCCAGCACGGTGACCCGCGGTAGACGGGTTTCAGCAGAGCGTCCAGATCGACACAATCGCCTTCCGTGAGTGAGCCACTGAAGACCTGGGGGCCCCACAGAACGCTGGCCACCGTGCTTGCTCTGGACACGTCATCAGGAGGGCCAGTCCCTGGAGAAGGACCTCCTGCTTGGTGGAGGGTCAGCAAAAGAGGGCAAGACCCTCAACAAGATGAGAGGACACAGTGGTTGCAGTGGTGAGCTCAAGCATTGGCGATGATTGTGAGGATGGTGCACGACCAGGCAGTGTTTGGTTCTGTTGTCACAGGGTCACGTGAGTCAGAACCAACATGATGGCACCTCACAACTACAACTAACTATCTGCCTGTCTACCTACCTACCTGTCTATCTGTCTGTCCATGCATCATCTGTCTCTATCATCTTTGTCAGTCTACCTGCCTACCTGTCTATCTAGCATCTGTCTGTGAGTCTGTCTGTCATCTCCCTCGCCTTAGCATCTGCCTATCTATGCTTCATCTGTCTATCTATTTTTGTTATCATTCGTCTCTATATTCTTTCTCAGTGTAATGATCTTTCCAGCTCAGCCTTTATTCAGGTGTGTGCTTCTCGCCTTGCAATGCATGAGTTCATTTTGGATGATAGCTTGTCGCCGGTGTTTGATTTTACAGCATTGTGCTCAGAGCACATGCTCTCTGTACTGATTTTCTTGGTTGAGATTTTGTATTTATTCAGAAACTTGAACTCTGTGTTTTCTTTTCAATGGATCTTTAATGTGTATATAAAGAAAGTGTTTTCTTAAGTGTTAGGTATATGTCCTCATAGGTGTCCATTGGCTCAAACTTGTTCATTGCATTCACATTGTTCAGACTGTTCAAATATTAGTTGTTTGTGTGCTTGATAGTTTTAAGTTAGGGAGAAAGGTGTATTGAAATCACTTACTGATTGTAACCTTGTCAGTTTCTAATTATATATATATTTTTTTGCTTTATGTGTCTAAAGGATATGTTATTAGACACACCAAAGTTCAGAGCTTTTCTGTTTTCATTTGGAGCTGTCCCTTTCATCGTTGTGGAAGTTCTTTGTCTCTGTCGTCTTTCTTTGCCTTGTGGCCATTTTTTCTAGCTCTTATATGCTCAGGCTTTCTTCCTTTCACTTGGTGTGCACTGTCCCTCCCTCTTTTCTCCCAGCGTTTTCAGATAAGGCTGGCATGACTGGGCTCTGTCCTCCGTCTGCCTGTCCTAGGGTGTTTTATTGACTCCCGTAACTGGACTCTGTTATGTTATTTTCATGTTATACTATGACTATCAGGCTACCTGCACTTGAGAGCAGTTGATCACGTAATTAGTGTGTGGCGTGAGGTAGCCGTGGCGCAGTGCGCAGTCCCTCTGTGAGCAGGTCTTCTGACCTGTGAATGGTGGAAGGTGGCTCCTGCTCAGGAAGGCTGCTAGGAGGGTTAAATGCATGGTGCTTAGAGTGTTCCTTGGCACAGAGTTAGACCCAGGCCGCAGTAGCTTCTTGTTACTGAACTTGGGGAAGACTGTGTCCTGTTGGTGAATGGAGAGTCTTCTAGGTGTGTATGTGTTTTAAGCATAAAGGCTTATGAATGAACTTAAAATACTGACGCAATAAATAGAAGTTGGAAATCGTTGTGAACCAGTGTATTTAATCATGTTTTGGGCCAAATGGTTTTGCTGATGACATTTGATGGAGTTCCCCACAGTGACATGTTTGAGCTCACACGGCACTGTGACAGCAGCGTGGGACTAGACAGGCCAGGCTATGATTAGAGATTAGGGCCCGGGTATTAGAGTGAGTGGCATGTTGTGGGGCAGGGCCACCTGGCCTTCTGGGAGCCATTCCAGGCCTGCTCTGTGTTGGGATAATTGGCCAATTACCAGGTGACCTTTGAAGTCACAGTGCCTTCCTGAGGGCATCTGGAGGGAACTGATCTACTGTGGCTTGTGGGAACACTTAGCATACATTTTTGTCTCTTAGTCTTTGACCACTTTGTAGCTATGTAACTTGCAACATTGGTGCTCCTGCTTGGAGTTATCCGTCATGGGTAAGGTCAGAGTGCTCCCCTATTAATTACGCTATATGGATGCTTTTGGAGTCCAATTCTGAAATAATTGTAAGTTAACAATCAGGCAGTTTTCATTTTTCGTGCTGATTGACGTCTTCTTAGGGCGATGCATGCTGATTCCACCCTTGAGCACCTGGCTTTCCCTACAGGGATCACCCTTTGCAGCCCAGCAACCCGACGCTTACAACCTTTTCCTCACCGTGGCCGTGGGTGACGGGATAAAGCTGTGGGACCTTCGGACCCTGAGGTGAGGCTTCGCCCACCCTTGAGAGTGGCAGGCCAGAGGGGGCCTGGGGGCTGCTTCTACTGAACCCTGCAGAGGCCTGGGCCCGAGATATTGCGGATCCACTCTTGTCCCCTTTCCCACACATTGCAAGGTGTGGTTAGTCCACCCACCCTGCCCAGTCCAACAAAGACGGATGTGTGGACATCAAGGTCATTTACAAAGGTAAAAGCATAGGCTGTCCAGAGCTCTGTCCCCTGTCACAGGTGTGACATAGGAGCAGAAACCCAGGTAGGCTCAGGGTTGGAGGTCATGGGAGGTGAAACCCAGGGTCGGAGGTCATGGGAGGTGGAGGGAGGCTGCTTACTGCAGGTGCCCCTGCTGCCCACACGCCACAACCCCTCTCCAGGGTGTGCCTTCCTGTGTCTCCTTGACATGGCCTTGGGCTCAAGCCCTCCCTGCTAGCGACCTGATAGTGACTAGAAGGAGCAAATCCAGCAGAGGCTCAACCCCAGCAGCACCCTCGGCCCGGGCTTGAGCCCTCCCGGCCAGGCGGCTCCGGCTGCTCCTTCCTCCTGACGCGTGCTCTCCTTGTTTCTTGTCGGCTCCTGTGAAGGAGTGCAGGAGAAAGCACAGACGCACGGTGACAGCCGGCCTGTGCTGCTGGGGTCGAGCCGCTACTGGGCTTGCTACTGCTTGTCACCATCGAGGCACCATGGACTCCTGGCCACCCGTGTGTTTCCAAGCTGTAGTCAACAGAAATTACTTTTCTGAAGGAATGAAATGTGTGTTTTTCATTGTGATAAAATACATGTAGGAGCTCTGGTGGTATAGTGCCTAAGGCATTTAACTGCTAACCAGAAGGCTGGTGGTTCAAACCCATCAGCCACTCCTTGGAAGGAAGGTTGGGCAATCTACTTCCATAGTGATACTGCCACGGAAACCCAAGGAGGGGCTGCTATGAGTCAGATCCGGCTCCATGGCAGTGAGTTTTTTTTTTTTTTTGCTAAAATACATAGGAGCTCTGGTAGCATAGTGGCTAAAAGCACTTGACTGCTATCCAGAAGGCTGGCGGTTCAAACCCACCAGCCACTCCTCGGAAGGAAGGTTGGGCAATCCTACTTCCGTAGTGATACTGCCTCGGAAACCCAAGGAGGGGTCGCTATGAGTCGGGGCCGACTCGACGGCACATAACAACAACAACAACAACAAAATACATGTAACAACTTTTGCCATTTTAATGATCTCGAGTGTCCAATTCAGTGCCCTGAATCACATTCACATTGTTGTTCAACCATCATACTATCCATTCCCAAATCTATCTGTGTATCTGTATCTGTCCACTATCAATCATCCCTCTCTGTGGTGCTCTTTCTATCGTATCTGTTATCCTAGCTATCACCCATCTGTGTGATTCTCACCTATCTATTATCTCTCTATATAACTATCATCTCTCTAACCAGCCAGCCAGCCAGCCAGCCATCTGTGCAACTGTCATCTGTCTGTCCATCCATGCATCTGTCCGTCCATCCATCCATTCTAGTTGACAAAGAGAACTTGAGCAGCGTGTTCTGCTCCCTGTCTGATTACTGGAATGGGCACTGAAGCCCCCAGCTCACTGTGTGGAAAGACGCTGCCCCACTCTGAGTGTCTGCATCAGGCTCTCTGTTGACCATCCTTCATGCCCGTGTGACACCCAGCCTAGTGTGGGCAAGTACCTGTTGAAAGCTCTTTTAGGGATTCTCTGGTTATCCCAATCAGTGTGGGAGGATCTCGCAACAAAACGCATCAGTACCCTGATCTTTGTAGAATATCAAAGTTTTGCACAGCCCCTTATAAGTAGTTAGTTGTACAGTTTCACCCACCTCAAAGAAGTCTTTGGATCACCAATCTAAATAATTTATGATTTTAAATTGTTTGAAAAATATTATCTGTAAAGTTCTGAAGAGCAGCCTGGTTCTTGTTTAATAATCTTCATACATGAAAAGCTCTCTCAGCGGCAGCTTGCTCTTTTTGTAATAAAAAGAAATTAGTTGGTTTCCTTCTCCCAGTTGATGTTAAAAATTTGACACATTTTCTCCTGGTGTTTCCTTTTCTTCTGCAGGTGTGAGCGTCGCTTTGAGGGACATGCAAACCGCTGCCACCCATGTGGGGTTGCCCTCAGTGCCTGTGGGCGGTATGTGGCCTGTGGTGCGGAGGACAGATACGTAGGTACCTTAGTGGCACGTGTGTCATCTGGATCCCTCAAATGCAGATAGGGTTCCTTTCCTGTGTGTGCTGTTGTATATTACTGCTGTTAGGATAAGGACCCATTGTAAGCCTGGCAAACCAAAAAAACCAAATTCACTGCCATCCAGCCCATTCTGACTCATAGCAACCCCCTTTGGGTTTTTGAGGTGGTAAATCTTAATGTAAGTAGATTGCCCAGTCTTCCTTCTGTGGAGTGTCTGGTGGGTTTGAACCACCATCCATCTGGTTAGCAGTCAGATGCCTTAGGTACTATGCCACCAGAGCTCCTTGTAAGCCTGACAGTCAGTATTTTGAGATTCTAACACAGTAATGGTATTTTAATAATAATACAGTGAGTGAGGCACAAGAGACCCTCATCTGTTCTCCTGATTTTGAAACATCTAAACCAAAAACCAAACGCACTGCCATCAAGTTGGATCCGACTCATAGTGACCCCTCCTTTGGTTTCTGAGGCAGTATCACTACAGAAGTAGATTGCCCAACTTTCCTTCCGAGGAGTGGCTGATGGTTTGAACCGTCAGCTTTCTGGTTAGCAGTCAAATGCCTTAGGCACTATGCCACCAGAGCTCCCTTTGAAGTATCAGTCGTTCATTTATCCATTTTTCATTTCTGAATCATAATGCTAATATTTATTGAATGCCTACTATGGAAAAAAAATCATTTTTAGGCACTGCGATTTCTCTGAATCGCAAGATTAATAAATAAAATACCAGATCACATCTATGTAGCTGAGGATGTTCCTTTTCCAAGTTAGATCCTTTAGGGAAAATGTGCTTGTTCTAACAAAGTGCCCTATTCACAGTTTTATAAACACATACACACATATTGTACATTATACACACAGATGTTTGTATCTCATAATGGGTTTGGTATGTTGTTGTTGTTAGGTGCCGTCGAGTTGGCTCTGACTCATAGCAACCCTGTGTACAACAGAACAAAACACTGCCCGATTCTGTGCCAGCCTCACAATCCCTGGGTTTGGAATAGACACTAACAAGACCCCATTTCCCCTTAATATATTTGAAAAAGTATTAGACTCGATGTCTGGGGATGCTGTAACAAATTACCCTAAACTTAGTGCTTAAAACAACCAGAATTTCTTCTCTCATAGTTCTGGGGGCCGGAGTCCAACTTCGAGATGTCAGCAGGGTTGGGTCTCCCTAGAGGCTCTCAGGGAGTCTGTCCCATGCGCCTGCCTTTCCTCTGCTGGGCCCTGGCATCCTGGGCTTACAGACTCGCCCCAGTCTCTGTCTCCATCTTCGCACAGTATTCCCTCCTGTGCTGTTGTGCGTCTTGTGTCCACACGGTGTCCTCCCCATATCTCTGTGCGCCTTGTGTTCACACTGTGTTCTCCACATGCCTCTGTATCTCGTGTTTACATGGTGTCCTCCCGTGTCTCTGTGTGTCTCATGTCCACACCGTGTCCTCCCCTGTCTGTTTGTGTCTTGTTTCTTAAATCTCCCTCCCCTTTCTCTTATTGAGACACCAGTCATCTTAAAACCCTCACTTACATCCACCACGATCCTAGTTCCAAATAAGGGTATATTCACTAGGGGTTAGGACTTGAACATGTCTCTTTGAGAGACACAGTTTAACCCATTAAAGGTTGACAAAGGTTATCAAAATCAAAAAGACATAATGAAATTTCCAAAGATGAAAGAAAATCACAATAATTTTGTGGAAAACTCACCTTCTTATTTAAATGAGCTTATTTTCTCCAGTTTAACCTGTGAGTGGAATTTACAAAGCATTGAAACCTAGTTTATTTAAGCTTAGTGAAACTTTCAAATAGGAAAAGTTACTATAAAATGACACTTGTTCATAGTTGCCTAACCCTGCTCCCCTGAAATCTTCCTTGTCTTTGGCTGTGGTAGACACATGAAGTTCCTCTCTGAATGAGGTCGTTGTGATCACATGAAACAGATAGAAGTTGATATTCCATTTCTGCAAAAAAATGGTACTTTCTAAAATTTAACTACCATGCAGCTAATAAATAATCTGCAAATTTAATGAAATGATTTAAAAGATGAAAACAAGTAGCACTTATCTGGCACTGTGAGGGTAGCATTTATCTGGCGCTGTGAGGTGCTTGCCGCCATTTTGGATGTGCGCTCTACGTCAGTGACTTTCATTGCAGTTTTGAGGACAGACTGCACCAGCACCCCCACCACCAACCAAAGAATTGGATTTTGGCTTTCTGCCTAACATGTTTCTCTGTGTTCAGCCGTTCACTCAGAGCTCTGTGCACCAGTCACTTCTATCCATCAGATTCCATTTTGTTTCTGAACATCTTACTGCATACGACATCTCTGGGTTATCAGATAGAATGTCGAATCCTCATCAACTTCAGAGGCTTGAGCAGTCCCTGTGTGCATTGCAGAAGAAATACTAAGTACACAACTGTTCTAGAAGTAAACGGAGTACGTTGCATTTTCTTGAATTCCCTTTGGTCCTTTTTTTTTACTCATCTTCCCGGTGAGTGCAGGTCTCAGGCAGGTCCCTGGGAGAGGCGGTGCAGTGGGGAGCAGTGCCTCATCTGACCGGCCATCTTTGTCATGCTCTGCAGCACGGGTTGGCCATTCTTATGTCATCAGTGCCCAGGTCAAAGTCTGACAAAGAAAAAACCTTCAGGAAATATTTTATGATAAGCACCAGGGGAAAGGGGAAGGCCCTCGATGAGGTGGATTGGCACAGTGGCTGCAGCGGGGGGCTCAGTGTAGCAAGGATCGTGAGGGTGGTGCAGGACAAGGCGGTGTTTTGTTCTGTTGTACGTAGTGTTGCTGGAAGCGGAGCTGGTAGGACGGCACCTGGCAATGCAACAACCACAAAGGGACCAGCATATTTTATTTTACCTTTAATGGTATTTATCGCATTATTCTAACACCTCCCTTGACCAGCCTCGGACTTGGACCGCCCTCCTTTTCTGGCCCTGAAACCACAAAGCTTCCACCATTGACATCAGCTCTCTGCACTTGCATCATTTTGGAGCCAAGTCTTCTGCCAGTTAAATTGAATGAAACAAAAGTTATTGTAGATAGATCAGTTTTCCCATTTACCTTCAATATGTTTTGCTGCAGTTGCATATTCTCAATATTTGGTTTTGGGGAAGAGGTTCAAGCATTTTTCAAAAGGCGTCCCAATGAGAGCTTCCCTACTTTCTGTATTTCATGTTTGAGCCAACCAGGTGCCCTAGAGAAAAACTATAAAGCAGAAAGTACTGCCATTACTCAGACATGCCTGCCTCGAAATGTGTCTCGCTCCTTATGTCCTCCTTCCTAATAGTTCAACAGTTGTTGTTGTTATGTGCCGTGGAGTTGGCCCTGACTCATAATGACCCCTATTTGGGTTTCCAAGGTGGTTCCACTACGGAAGTAGATTGCCCAACCTTCCTTCCAAGGAGTGGCTGGTGGGTTTGAACCACCAGCCTTCTGGTTGGCAGTCAAGTGCCTTAGGTACTACACTACTAGAGTTCCTAGTTTAAAAGTAGGCTATATTTTCTGAAGTATATTGGATGCAAAATAACAAAAGTCTTGTAGAAGACAGGAAATACTCTCGTGTTTACCTGAAAAGCTCAGCAGGGACTTGTGTTCTCGCCATATCTCTGTGTTCTAATACGCTCAGTGCGTTTTATGTATACGCCAGAGCAGCTCTCCCCCAAATGTGGGAAGTGGGACCTTAGTATGTCGTGGAGAAGAGTTCCAGGACCAAACACATTCAGAAAAGCTAGAGCTACAGACATCCCCCTGTAGCAATGGACGAGGGTTCCGCTTATCTCCACATCCAGGACAATGCTTAATTTTCTTCTTTTCGTAACAGCTTAGTGCGTGGGAGCTCTGGTAGCATAGTGCTTGTGGTGGTTATGTTTTTGTGTCAGCTTGGCTCGGCCTGGCTGAGTGGCTGGGCAGCTGGTGGTAGTTATTCCCCATGATGAGACTGGCAATCAACTCCATGGTGGGATCTACCGCAAGCAGCTGAGTAGCTGCCTTTGGGATGTGGTCTGCTTCCCGTATATAAGAAACAGCTTTGGGAATGGTCTCTAGCCTATGGCACGCTTGGACCCTGCATGTAGCTGTGTCGTTGCTCAGCAGCCTGCTATGCTCTGCTGACCTTGGGACTTACAGTGGACTTAAGTTAATGGCCTGCCATGTGGATTGGTAACATTGGGACTGTGCCTTTTTACTTGTCAACCTTGGGGCTTCTCAGCCTCAGTAGCCAACAGCTGTCTGAGTGAAGAAAATGCCTCTAGCTCCAGTGGTCTGGGAGCAGGAGGCAGAGCTGGACCCCAAGGTTGAGGGGCTTTCACCCAGCCCCCAGAGCCTGGCACTTTGATCTTGGACTTAAAGCCTCCAAATTGTAAGAATAAACTCTTGTTTATTAAGGCCATCCCATTTGTGGTATATATCTCGTCAGAGCGGCACTAGGTAACCAGAACAGTGCCTAAGGCCCTTGACTGCTAACCAGAAGGCTGGAGGTTCAAACCCACCAGCCACTCCTCAGAAGGAAGATGGGGCGATCTACTTCCACTTCCATAGTGATACCACCACGGAAACCCAAGGAGGGGTCGCTGTGAGTTAGGTCCGACTCAACAGCACATAACCGCAACAACAACAGCAAACCTAGTGCGTGTGAAGTGGTGTCTCCCTATAGTTTTAGTTTGCATTTCCCTAGTGAATAATGATGCTGAATGTATTTTCTCTTGCTTCTTGGCCATTTGTGTATCTTCTTTGGGGATATGTCTATTCAAATCCTTTGCCCATTTTTATATTGAGTTGTTGTTTTTGTTGTTGAGGTATAGTTCTTTATATATCCTGGATATTAGATTCTTATCACATATATGATGTATCAGTATTTTATCCCAGTCTGTGGTTTGTCTTTTTACCTACCTAATAATGTCCTTTGAAACATAAAGCTTTTAATTTTGATGAAGTCCAATTTATCTATTTTTTTCTTTGGTTGC